CAACCTATAAACCTGTGGGCATCAGAGACCCCCCTCCAGTCCCCCCTGAGTCTTTGAGGAAGAGCCTACACCCTAGAGACTGCTCCTGACTCTGTAATTAGAGTGCTGTCAGTCACTGGGATTAAAAGCACACAGCCCACACATATTACTATAGATCAGGTGTGGTAACAGTACAGTTGTCTCATTTAGCTTGCTATTAACTAATTACCTGCTAAACCTGCAAATGTTGAGAGTAGAGGGGGAATGAGAGAACTGTGTTCATCCATGCCAGGCAGAAATGATCAACATAAAGCTAGAGAGCCTAATGGTAGACAGCATGAGGAGGAGTAATTACCATGTGACCACATACATGTCAGTTCATTGTGACCACATGTCAGTTAATTAACTTTACTGACTTTAAATGACATTTAAAATAAAACTATGAATACAAGAGATAATACAAGCTATATACGGACGGTTCATTTCTGCACCTTAACTGCACCACACATTTGAAAGTATGATAAATCTTATGATAAAAACCAAGCAAAATAAAAAAAGGAAATATTTTCCAAAATGTAAATGTTCTCCATATTGGGGGAATAATAAGAAATAGGTGGCTAAAGTTTGCATGCAAACTTTAATGTTGGCTTCTACTGGTAATTTAGCGAATGCCACAAGTATCATACATCAAACCAACATTTCTCTATGATTTTCCTGAGCTGAGATACAGATATGCCAAATTGGTTGCTGAGGTTAACAGGTAAAATTAACTAAACCAAACCTCATGTCTCTATGAGTTTCCTAAGCTGAGCTAGAGATATGCTAAATTGGTTGCTAAGGTAAAAGGTCAGGTTGCTATGGAGTGGTCACTGTTGTTATATAATGTTCATCATGTCAATATGAGTAAAATTAACTAAACCAAACCTCATGTCTCTATGAGTTTCCTAAGCTGAGCTAGAGATATGCTAAATTGGTTGCTATGGTAAACAGTCTGGTTGCTATAGAGTGGTCAGTGAAATTATATAATGTTCTTCATGTCAATATGAGTAAAAAAAAAACAAACCAAACCTCATGTCTCTATGATTTTTCTAAGCTGTGATAGTGATAAGCCTAATTGGTTGCTAAGGTAAACAGTCTGGTTGCTATGGAGTGGTCACTGCCATTATGTAATGTTCATCATGTCAATATGAGTAAAATAAACCAAACCTCATGTCTCTATGAGTTTCCTAAGCTGAGCTAGAGATATGCTAAATTGGTTGCTAAGGTAAAAGGTCAGGTTGCTATGGAGTGTTCACTAACGTTATATAATGTTCATCATGTCAATATGAGTAAAATAAACCAAACCTCATGTCTCTATGATTTTCTTAAGCTGAGATAGTGATAAGCCAAATTGGTTGCTATGGTAAACAGACTGGTTGCTATAGAGGGGTCAGTGGCATAATATAATAGTTTTATTTTTGACCCAATGATATGTAAATAAACCCCAGAGTCTCAATTGTTTTCCAAAGCTGAGACGGAGTTCTAAAAATGGGATTGCAAAGGTAAAAACAGTCCAGCGCTATTCTTTTTCAAATCATAGCACCACATCTTACAAATCGGCACAAGAAACATTCCCTTAACTTGTAAGTAAATCCATCAGAGCCACTTAAAAGCCTGTGTAGAAAGATCAACTTCAAAGCTAGGAAGTTTGCACAGGATGAGAGTTTGATTTGTGGTGCATGTATTTCAAGCCTGCACTCTTCTAGAAGAGTGAGGAGAGATTGATGGCAGGAGGAGATCAAGGGATGAGATCAGCTGAGTTAATACATTGTTTTCATCTGACGCGGTACAGATATCTTATGGAAGTATCATAACTCTCGATGCAGCAAGTTCATTGATATATCGATTCCATTTCAAACAGAGGGCTCTGCAATACATTTCCTGTCTGACAGCTGGGATGTGTCCCCACTGCATGTCAGATATGGTTAAACAGACTAATGGATGAAGAAAAGAGCATCGGCAGCATGTACAAATTTTATGCATGACTGGATTCCACTTGAAGGTGAAATCTAAAATCAGCCGTTCAGCCATAATTACAAGCTCCTCCTGTGGTCTAGGGTTTCATGTAATGGAGGGCCAGAGTCTGCCTGGTATGCAGAGCCAACAGATAAGGATAATTTTACTACAGGTTCCAAACAATGGGACAAACAGAGAGGATGACAAAGCCGCATTTGATAGACAACTTTCTGCACTGGATTGAGAGTAAGACTGTATTATTTTTGGCTCTTCTGTTCTGACCCTGGCATAGGTGGAGAAAGTACACGCTCCCGCTACTTTAGTACAAGTTCTTATGTTTAAAACAACAAGTAAAAGTGAGAAAATGGGTCCTTAAAATAAAAAAAGGTACACAGGAATGAAAAACATATTGACTGCAGGACTAATATAAGTAGGTGAACATATGGAAATGTTATGACATATCACCTCTTTTCCTTTGTGATTAATTTGATCCCAGCAGTTTAAAACATCCAGAATATGGAAATTTTCTGTTAAAAGGCTAGTCTCAGTTGATGTCTTTGTTAAATACTTAACAACACTCAGAAATACACCCCCTCCCATGCTCCACCCCACTAAATTTACAAATTATTTCACCTAAAGTTGATGATTCTTTTAGACAATCTGGAAACAATTTCTTTTAGACTGGAACACAATTATTTATGGGGTTAATTGGACACAAAGAAAAAAAAATGCAGTTCAGTCACACCCCAATATATCTGTTGGGTCCAACATTTTGATGACATTAGCAGCACTAAATCCACCCTGTCGTTCAAGTGGGGAGTGGGATCATAATATTTTTTCATTTTAAAATATCAATTTTAGGTAACATGTCTGCTGGTGCATGAGAGAATACAACAGGGTGAACACTAGCAGTCTCTTGACGTGCAAACATAAAAAAAACTCTGAATGCTGCCCCAGAGAGTAATGCAGTGTGAAAGGATCTGTTACATGACTACTCTGAAAATTTTAAATCTGTACTCTGGTTAAAGAGCTGATTAAAAACATTTTTTTGGGTTTTGTTGGTTTAAAACAACGAGAACAAGGGTTGCTCGTAGTTAAGGTATGAATTTCATTATTGATTCGGTTCAGTTCAATGTGAGTTGTTCATTTGAGCCATGTTTTCACCTCCAGAGGGAATAACACACCTGTTCAGGCCTCTTAGCTGTCAGCAGGCATCATGCACTTGAGTTGGTTGGCATGCAAGAGAGGCGTAATCATCTCAAACGGGATGAGTGAGCTAGCTTTGAAGCAGAGGTCTGCAGGGACATTGCTGCCTCTGGCGGGATTCACTTATCCACACGGGTTTCTTCAATGAGCTCTGAGCCTTCCTCAATGTGTCAATCACTTCCGCTGACTGTCCATCTGCAAAAGAGGAGTCGCTGATGAAATGTTAATGGAAACCAATCAGCCCATTCTTCAAACATGGTGGGTATTTCCACTGTTTTCATCAAACATCAAATTGTTTGTGTTGTTTTTGCTGTAAATTAATGGTGAGTCAATGAAGTAAAAATGAATTGCAAATAATAACATATTTTTGTTAGAATATTTACCCTCGAAATTAAATAAATGAGACAAAACTTTAGTTCCAAACAGTAGTGTCTATACACATTATACAGTTGTGCTAATACTGACTCTTATTTTATTTGGTCAGGTAAACCAACAAAACTTCTGCTACAACTGCCAGAAAACTGCAAAGGGGCATTGCAAGAAAACTGTACAATTGTAAGGCTTGGCTGTTCATGAGACAAAGAGACACTTGAACAAAATTGGTAACATGGTCAAGTTGCCAGAAGAAACACATCTGTTTCTGTTGCACTTCATAACTGAACCTACATTTGACAACGATCATTGGCACCTGTTTGGTTGAATCGGTTGATCATAGATGTGACTATAATCCTTCAAGTGTAGCCATTAAAATTGATGGAGAATTGAAAGCAGAAGGTAGGAACAACAAAATTTCATTTGAATTAGATTTTCACCTTTATTTTAGAACATGAAAAAATTACAGTTTATTCAGACACATTTCAGAAAACGGAACAAACATTTCCACTGTGCTTAAAAGTATTCATTAAGGAAATTAAATAGAAAAAACTAGGGATGTCCCGAGCCGATCATAAAGATCGGTATCGGGGCCGATCGAGGCATTTTTTAACTGATCGGAATCGGCTCTATGTATCGGACCGATCGAATGTTTGCGTCAGCTACGTCACGCACGTGTTGCAAACTCGCATGTTAAACTCGCATGTTGTTTACTACTTGCAATACGGTGCTAAGATGTCTGCAGTGTGGAAGTATTTTAAGTTGGAAAGTGATTCTAGTCTGGTAGCTACATGCAACGTTTGCAATGCGAGCATTTCACGCGGTGGTACTAGCAAAGCAGCCTTTAATACTACCAACTTGATAAGGCATCTTAAAACGAAACACACGACAGAATATTGCGACTTCACTGAGCGAACGCAGGAAAAGGCTAAACCAAAGCAACACACACTGGAGGAAACTTTTAAAAGGAGACAGAAATTTCCTCTAGAGAGCTGCAAGGCCAAAAAGATTACAGAAAGGGTCGTTGAATTCATCGCTTTGGACGATCAACCCCTCTCTGTGGTAGAGAATACTGGCTTCCGCCGGCTTTTTGAACCTTTAGAATACTTTAATAACCTGCATGCACTTAAAGTGTGCAATTAGCACAAGGAAAAGACAAGTATCGGATCGGGACTCGGTATGGGTCGATACTTAAAATTAAATGACTCGGATCGGATCGGGGGCTCAAAAAACCTGATCGGGACATCCCTAGAAAAAACCCACTAAAATAGAATAAATGATACAGTGTTGTTTTTTCACACATAGTGGCTGTTTTTAAACTTATTTTGGAAGTTTCCACATAATTAATGACAATAAAACTGTATGGGATTTGTAGATTCATGTAAAAAGTTACACATTATTTAAATTCAAGTTGCCACAATGTTTTGATTGTTATTTGAACTTTTAGCTTTCCCTTGTTTCAGTTGGTAGAGCGTTGTGATAACCACGCAAAGGTTATGGGTTCAAATCCCAGGGAAAGCAAGAGAAATGCGTTCATTCAAATGTAAGTCTCTTTGGATAAAAGCATCTGCCTAATGTATAAATGTAAATGTACTCTTTAAATGTTTGGTTTGCTTGAGTCAACTTGAGTCAAGTATGTACTTTCCATCAGCACAAAGTTATTTTTCCTCCATGTTAAAAGGTTTATTGGCACAGCAAGGGGTGTAAGATCTCAGCAAGTGAGCTTAGGATCAGAGAGGAAGAAACACCTGTCCTCTTCCTTCACCTTTGGTTCCCGCTCTCTGCTTTCAGACCAGGCTCTGGTCAAATTCTTTTGAACATGTTGTTTTATTTGTTTTACTTTAGTGACAGCTGGAATATAAATCACTTCGAATCTGCATTGAACATACTTGATTTAGCAAGAAACGCAACATCCTGAAAGTCTTTAACTCATGTAAGGAACCTTTAGATAAGGAACCAATAGGAATATCTTTAGTGTTAAGGTTTGGAGAATTCCATATTATAGGGAATGTTTTAGAGAGCGTTGTCTTCAAGTGGGTTTAGGGACATACTACCTATAGTTGTAGGTACTCCAGGGTAACAATTTCAAGTTTCAGAAAAAGCCTGTGTTTTTTGTGTTTTAAAAAGCTCATTTTATTTCTTATAAACTGAAAGGTCTGTATTTAAAAGAGCCAGACCAGTTGAAAGATGAAGACCACTGTTTTGCAACCAATAAGAATAACAGTCAAACTTTTGCTCTGTTAGTTAAGACGCTGTGCCTTTGAGGTCCAGGTTTGCGAGGTCAGATCCTGACAGAGAAGAAAATCTCTGTGGAAACCCTGCCCAATGCCAATTAGCGCAGTGATCTCTGGCCTTACGGAGGAATGTTAAGCTGTGCTGGCTGTCACAGAGCACATGAACACAATCCCACAATGCTCTGTGGCATTTCTGGACAGGTCCCATCCAGTGCATCCAGGGTTGGGTTGGGATTACAACAAAAGGCTTGTTCAAAGAGGGCATTTGTGTTTAGGGTACATTTCTTTTGGTATGGAAAAGGATTATAATTTGCATGAATTTTTATGAAAAAAAATCACATGCACACATCTGCGTAGGATAAACTTTACATCCAATAAAAAGTAAATAAGTAATAAACTACAAGGGAAACACGTTTACTGAATAAATCCCAATGCAACGCAATGGCAATGCTTTTTTGCGGGGTGGCAATAATGGACCGATTTCATTACGCAACATCTGAAATGGTGTTTTGGCTATTACAAAATAAAAGTCTGTCATCAAAGTGGTCTGGAATTATCAGAGCTGAGTTCCAAAGAATAGTTCACTGCCTCCAAAAGCAAGATGACATGACTGCGCAAATAAGTTATTATGTATGAAAAAAGGTCTTCTCCTAAATCAGCATCTTCCCTTTTTCTTTAGCCAGTTGTGTATCAGGAAGTGACAATATTGTTCTCTTGGACTCGATGGATGGAAACTACTGAAATGGGTTGTCATTAAAACAAATCTTCAGCTATAGTGTGTTGTTCCGTACACTCATACTACATTTCGACAACCTGGACATCCTGCCAATCACAACCAGAAGGAGCGGTGTAAATAGTTCTAGTAGTATTTTTTGTAACATGCAAAAAATGTATCAAAAAAAGAAGATATTTTGAACAAACTAGTCACAAATTGAATCCTTTAGGACTCGTTGTTATACAAAGAAAAAAATAAACGTGTATTATAAGAAGATTCTGGCAATGATAAAAAAACAGGTAAAGAAAAGGAATGGACTTACGAACAAACAAAAATTTTTGAACTTGCATGTGGAGGTTGTTGAAGACTCCTAAAAACAATCAATAAACCTTTTAAAAGCATAATAATCACTGTTATTTGCAAATTACTCCAAGCGCATTCAAATATTAAATGCATTAGACTCTGTGCCCTTTTAAGGATCGTTAAACAAGTTACAAATACAGATATATTTTTTATAGATATCTGTTTTTACTCAGATCTTCGTTAATGAGTCATTGGTTTAAAAGTCCTGAGTAAAATATGTCTGTTCCCACAAAGCCCCGTGAAAGAACACCATCAATCAACAGACTTTAATAAATCACAGCACATTCACCGGATGCCAGTATTACGCAGTCCACAGGAAATTACATTTTTGTGCTACTGGGATGATCAAGTTCCGTCTCAAAAGGAGAGATCAGCAAATTGTATTTTAAGGTGTGTTCATTTAAATTATATTGAAGTTCCCACTCGATTTTGTATCAAACAAACATGCTGCAACTTGAAAAACAATCATCATTTTGACAACACGGTGGTCATAGCAACACTAGCAAAAAAACTCCCAATATTCCTGCAGCATAAACATGGAGCGCTGCAAAAGTTCTCAAGACAACAGAAATGTTTCAATGGACTTTTAAACGAGACAAACCAGGATCTTTTTATTGTTCCTTTTGTATGTGTTGATCAGAAAGATGAGCTGTTTGTCTTTATTTAATATTCACAATCAGAAATTTGAATTCCATGCAGTTGTTTGTGCCAATAGTCATGGTTTCAGCAACTGTAATTTATTGTTAAATAATTAATTGTCAAATAATACTGATAAAGCACGGGAAGATTAAATAGGTCACACAACTCACCTTTCTGATAAACACTTTAATTTGAGAATAAATAAATAAAATATCTTTGAATTATCTTTCTTATCAACTGACCCAGTCTGAATTCTCTAGCATTCTAAGTAATTCACTTTTCATCTGTTGCAAGCTATTAAAAGTCACTGGATGATATTGTATAGTTTCTAAGGAAAGTACCTAAGGTAGAATTTTTGGTTGCTTTTTTCAAGGAATCATTCACATTTCCTCATTTCAATAGGAGTATTATAAATCAAACCGTTTGTTTCTATGATTTACCAAAGCTGAGATACGAGTTCAGAAAATTGGTTGCTAGGGTAAACAGTTTGGTTGATAGGGAGTCTTCAGTGATGTACATTTTTTTTATTTACCGGTAATACCCATAAATAAACCCCCATTTGCAATGTTTCATCTTGATTTTCAATTAAGTGGTATTTCAATCAATGGTAAATATTTAACGCCTACTAGAGCCTAGGGTTCAAATACTTCTGCACAGTGGTTGGTATGTTTTTGGACAGACTGATAATCTCCACAAGTCAGCTTTACGTTTCTATGAGGTTCTCAGGGTGAGTTACAGTTTTATAAAGCTTGATCCCAAGATAAGCCAATTGGAAAATTTCCCAACATTCTCACTGATTTCTCTGAATTCCTTTCGTGGTACCAGTCTGAAAAGATATAGCAATCCGAGACCAGTTTGGATGTCTTGGTAATATTTGGTGGATCTGGCGTTTACAACTTCTTGTCCGAAGCAGTCTCTGATGATGACCCCTAGGACCACCAGCCAAGACCATCTTATTTAGACAAATATTTTAAAAACACACTAATTTGAATGTTTTCCAGGTTTGACTGGAAATGTGATTCTTAGTTTTTCACTATTTAAAAAAGCGTGGTGCAGTGGTGAGATCTTGTGGGTGCTCTCGTGCTCATGAGGATGAGGTTTGCGCCTGTCTGCACACTGGGGTCAGAATACTAAAGACCCATCCGGAGCTGATGAGGGCTGCATCTCTGATACTGTGTTTCTCAATGGAGGTAAAGGACTCTCCAAACGCTAAACGTGACCGGCTCCAGATCTACACCTAATAAAACCAGAACAAAGAAGAGCAAGGAGCCAGAGAAAACAGCACACACCGAGGGAGCCAGCAGTGGGAGAACACAAGCCAGCGAAGCGGCTACTCACACCAAATCTCATTTCCTCTGCAACAAATTTTGAGGACGAGCCATATGTCATGTTTGGTCTGGAGAGAAAACCCCTCATTATTCCAGACAGCAGCGATATTAATGATCCACAGCTTTGTGTCCGCTGCACACAGAGCCACATTCTCTCGGGAATGCTTTCATTGTTCCCAGAGCTCTTTTGTACCGCTTGAGGTTCAGCTTCCTCCTCCAATTTAGAACCTGAGTCGGCTCATATGAATAGCCAGAACTGTTCTCAGGTCAGCGGGAAGGAATTTTAAAAAACATAACCCCGCTGCTCGTACACAAAAAGCACAGCGGTGTGTTACAGACTCAAGAGACGAGGAGCCGTTAACACACTCAATCAACTCGATGAGTGTAAACAAGACGATTTATCATAACTCCCTTGCACCAGCGTGAGAAGCCGACCAGTATTCCTCTGCCCAAGTTCGTTCTTTTACCATCATTTTAAATACTTTAATCTCCTTTTTTCCCCAACATTTTTTTTACTTTACCACTTCTAAAGATAAAGGGTGCAGCGGAGAACGCAAAGAGAGATGGATCCACACATGATAACCTCAAACCACCTTGGCACAAGGCGAAGACCACTGCATAAAACCTGTTTTAATATTTTAATCTACTCTCACTGGCCACTTTATTAGGTACACCTCAATAGTACCCCGTTGGACTCCCTTTTGCAATGACAACTGCCCTAATTCTTCGTGGCTCAATTGTAGCCTGAGTTTCCTGTTCTTAGCTGACAGTATTGGCACCCGGTGTGGTTTTGTGCAGCTCTTCTGCGTACCTTGATTGTTTCGTTTCGTTTCTATCAGTTCAAACCCATCTGGCCAAACTCCTCTGACCTCAGGCATTTGCACAGACAGAACTGCAGCTCACTAGAGATTTTCTATTTTCCAGACCATTCTCTGTAAACCTTAGAGATGGTTGTGAGTGAAAACCCCAGTAGATCCGCGGTTTCTGAAATCAGCCTGTCTTGCTCGGTCATGCTCGGTTTGAACTGACGAAGATTGGTCATGTTTACAGTTGCTGCCATGGGATTTGCTGATCCCAGGGAACACAGGAATTGACAAAAGTGTTTATTAGAAAATGTAAGTCACTTAGGACAAAAGCGTCTGCCAAAATGCATTAATGTAAATGTGTACCTAATAAAGTGGCCAGTGAGTGTATGTTTAACTTGTTTTGAAAGTTTTTAATTGAATTTAATTCTTGATAA